CAAGCATTTTTTTCTAATGTTCTTTCTCCTTAGTTTCACTGGATTATTTCTTTGTGTCTTCTTTAAACTCTTTGAATTCTTTGATGTTTAGGATTGTTCTTTAAAATTCTGTGTCCTGTGGTTCATCTAGGTTTCTGTCTTTGGCAAGCATTTCTACAGGGCTGCTATGTTTGAAAGGAGAGATACTGACTTGATTTTTCATATTGTTTGCATTTTTACAGTGAGATTTGGATGTACGGACTGTTTTTGTTAGTTCTAGGTCTGATAAAGACAGAGCGGGTTGGAGCAGAAGATAAGCTATGTGGGAAGATTGGGCTTAGAAGTTGGAAATGTCTTGGGTGGAATGTCAGGTAGAAATAAGGACTGGACAGATATACAGGATGTGTCTCCTAGTCTAAGCCTGGAGTATGGGAGTAGATCTGACTGAATGGAAGGTTGGATGTGGCATAGGAGGAGACTGTGGGTTAGGAGGTAGGTAGGGTGGAAAAGGCCTAGAAATTGGTTGCAGTGCAGGCCAGGGTGGCCAGAATAAGCCAGGATAGTGGATGTGGGATCCAGGCTAGATCTATTGGGTTGTGGGAATGCATGGATGGAGAAGGTCAGGGATACTCACCAGGAAAGATCCTGAAAAAAGGTATGGGAGATCTAGCAGGGTGGAGAGATTGGATGTAGCACAGAGGGGACCTGTGGGTAGTGGTCTTGTGAAGTCTTTAATAAACTCATTGTTATACTTACTGATAACTTCATCAGAAACCAAAACACAAGAATCTAACTTTACCACTTTTTTTTCCCTCACTTTTTGTCATTATTTGTCCATGAGCTTAAGTCTCCTCCATATATATAACTTGAGATTTAAAGTACATTTGAATGGCTTTGTTTGCTGGTGGGACATCTTCTCAAAAGCTGCTCTTGAGAACTAGCGCTAACTTGCTCAGCAGGAAGTTTGCTGCTTTTGTTTTTCCTAATTACATGTCCTTGGATTCATGTTTGGGACCAGAGACTTCTGACATGTTTTCTAATGACTAGAAAATTCATGTGACATGAAAGGAGGGTAGAAAATAAGTAAGGTGTATAGGGCACGGTGGGAGACAGGCTACAAAAACCTAATGGGCCCAGTGAGATAGATGTTGGTGTTAAATATAGGGTAGGTTTCTTAGGCTGAATCTGAATCCTGTTGTCCATACCTGTGAGTCTGACTAGGAAGACAAATCCTGTTCTTTCTCCTCTGTGAGGAGCTGGAAGTGGTTGAACAGGAGTTTCCCTGCCAAGTTCCCTGATCCTCAGCATGCCACACTCTGGTCATAGTCATGGCCTTTGTTCTCAGAGTGCTATTCTTGGCTTTTTGTCTTGGTATAGGAGAACTGTGCTGTGATGGGTAAGGTGCAAACCCAACCTTATCTGCGTGGTACGTCTCCCCCTATGAATCGTTAGCCAGAAAGCCCTTCCCTTTGTAGGGCTTTTTGAGCAGAATCTGATTGATAACCAGATATCTCTGGACCAGATGTTTCCCGTCGCTTTGAGGAAAGAGGCCAGCAAATGAAGAGGTAAGTGACAGGGTGTGCTAGCAAAGGGTGGTCTTGACAGAATAGAGGATGATACAGGATTTATATATTTAACATGGCATCCAAAGTAAAAGCACAGTGCCTGGCATGGGTAGGCATGCCTTGGGATTTGAATGAAGGAATGGTTGTAGGGAGGCAGGGTATAGGAGAAGAAAGAGGGCTGTGCAGGGTGTGGATCTGAGGATCCTATATATACTAGCTGAGCAGTAGGTATAACAAGGCCTGGTGAAAGGAGCCCAGTGGACACTGAAGGAAGGTGTCAGAGCACAGTGCTTATAGTGACCCAGGTGGCACAGGCAAAGCCATGCAGCCTCTGCTTAGCAAAAGTACCTCTGCTCAGTGAACACACACACACACACACACACACACACACACACACACACACACAATCTCTTAGGTTTGGGATATATCCATTTGCTGAATCTAAGTAGCTCTGAAGATCACTGGGGTGTCCACAGGTCACATAGACTGAAATACCATAGAATAGAAGATAGAGGAAGTTGAAGAAAGAACTGGGGACTTGGGAGATGGGGGTGTTGGAGGGCCTTCCCTTAAGGCAACTGAATATTCCTCAAATTATTCACCAATGATCATCTCATTAAATGTAGAAAAGGCTTTGTCAAAACCTAACACTTCTTCATCATAAAAGTCCTGAAGAGACAGGGCTACAAAAGATATACGTCAACATAATAAAGGCAATTTACAGCAAGCCTACAGCGAACATCAACTTAAAACAGTTTAGGAGAAACTTAAGACATTTCCACCAAAATCAAGAACAAGACAAGGATATCCAACTCTCCCCATACCTATTCAATATAGTACTTGAAGTCTTAACTAGAACAATAAGATAACTGAAAGACATCAAGAAGATATAAATAGTAAAGAAGTCAAAGTATCTTTATTTGCAGATGCTGTCATAGTATACCTAAGTGTCCCCAAAACTGCAGCTGGGAAATTCCTGCTGCTTATAAACACTTTCAGTAAGAGTAGCAGGATACAACATTAACAAAAATTAGTAGCTTTCTTATATACAAATGACAAACAGTCTAAGACAGAAATAAGGGAAACAACTTCCACAAGAGCCTCAAAAATGTAAAATATCTTGGGGTAACTCTAACCAAGCAAGTGAAAGACTTACATGATAAAAAATTTAAGACATTGAAGAAAGAAATTGAAGAAGGTAACAGAAGATGTATAAGATCACCCATGTTCACAGATTGCCAGGATTGCTGTAGTAGAAATGGACATCCCACCAAAAGTGATTTACAGATATACTACAATACCCATCAAAATTCCAACAGTCTTCACAGAGCCTGATAATTTTCAGTTTCATATGGAAAAACAAAAAACTCAGGATAGGTAAAACACTCCTGAGTAATAAGAGAACTGCTAGAAGTATCACCATCCTTGATCTCAAATTGTACTACCGAACTATAGTAATAAAGGCTGCATGGTATTTCACAAAAATGGACATGTTGATCAATGGAATGAATTGAAGACACAGACATAAATCCACACACCTATGAGTTAGAGGCACAAGGTTTCTTGTGCTCACAGATAAGCACTAGAAGAACCAGAAATGTTAAACACACAGGATGGTCTCTTCAAGAGGATAGATACATAACGTTTTTCTGCACAGAAGGGTAGCAGTGGACATAGTTAATGTCCTGGTGACCACTGTGATATCTGTGTGACAGAGACCACACCAGATCCCACCCCCCAAGACCCTTGCCTAGAGATTGTCTCAATCAATCTATAGATGCTGTCTTTAGGGAAGATGTCACTTTTACTTTACAAATAGTTTCAATGTAATCATATGCTAAGCTTTGTTGTGTACATAGGATTGAGTTAATTATCAATAGGGAAAATTTCACCAATTTGTGCTATCCTTAAATATGCCTAAAATTAACTACTCAGGTTCAGACTCTCAAAGTTTGAATCAACACAGGCTACTGAGGTGTGTTGAATAAAACTACCTTCTTGCCTCATCTGGATCATTACTCTGGATGTAATGGTTGCAGAGACCCACACTGACAACTGATCTTTTATAAAGAAGCCAGAAATGCACAGTAGAAAAAATAGAGCATCTTCAACAAATGCTGCTGGTCAAACTGGTGGATGCATGTAGAAAAATGCAAAGAGAGCCATTCTTATCACCCTGAGCAAAGCTCAACTCCAAACGGATCAAAGACCTTGACTAAGGTCAGATACACAGAATCTGACAGGAGAGCGGGGAAGAGCCTTGAACTCATTGGTATAGGAAAAGACTTTCTGAACAGAACACTGATAGCACAGACACTAAGCACAGCAATTAATAGCTGAGATCTCAGGAAACTGAAAAGCTTCTGTAAGGTAAAGAAACCAACATTCAGACAAAGCAGCAGACTAAAAAATGCAAAAACATTTTTGCCAACTACATAACTAATAGAGGACTAAGCTCCAATATATATAAAGAACGTAATACACTGGAAATCAAGAAAACAAATAACAACTAAATTAGGGTATACTGGTGTACACCGGCAATCACAGAGTTGTAGAGGCAGAGACAGAACAATCCCGGGGACTACCATACTGGGCTATTTGGCACGACCCACATCACAGTGAGAGATGCTCTTTCAAAATACAAGGTAAAGAGAATATGGAGACAAGCCAAGGTTGTCTCATGGCCTGCACGTGCACATGCACACAAATCCTTTGTCTGTGCACACACACATGCAACACACACATACATAGAAACACATTGTACAATTTGTATGTATATATAAACATTTTCAGTAACCAATAGTATTTCAATAAATGTAGATGAAATGAGTGCAAATAAACAGGCACATGAAAATTTCATATAAGACTCATTAAGTAACTGTGGTAAAAAAATGGAAAATTTAAATTCACATTATTTTTACGATCCAGAGAAATTATAATTAGGAAACAGAATTAAAGCTACAATAGGATATTTAAACTATTCTGGAATGTGTAGTGTAAATTAAAATATTTTTTTAAAAAATCTTAGAAAGTCACTATCAACAAGAAGCTTCATTGAATAACCTCAGCATCCAGGGAACATTTTTGATATAAAATAAAAGGGAGCAAGTAAGAGAATTCCTGTGGAAACAACAACTTGTAGTGTACAATGAACTTTATAGTACTTGGCAGCAGAAATGTCACAAGAATGTACACATGTAATACCACAGATTTTATTTCAATCATATAAAGAATCATGCTTTGCTACTTGAAATATTAAATAGTTTAAGAAGAATCTGTTTTTAGAGAAAAAATTGCACCAGCATGACTCCTCACAACCATCTGTATGTCCAGTGCAAGGGAAAGGGCCAATGACCTCCTCCGACCTCTGTTGGAATGAGGATTTCACACATACATGCATGCTGGCACTACATATAAATAAATTGGTTTTTTGAAAGAAGAGAAAAATTAACCTTTTTAAAAAATTTGGTGGCCCATTGTCTGCAAGTTTTTCAGCATATTGATTATTCTGTTATCAGAACTGATTTGTACCAAAGGAGTAATTGTGGGATAGACATTCATCACAAACTTTTGAACAGTCAGGATGACTGGGTTGTACTTCCATAACAGGACTGAGGTGCATGAGATGATGAAGTCTACCCAGTACATGATCACAAAGAAAACCACCAGCAGCAAGATGGTCTGGGTGGCTCTTTTCTCAGGAGACGCTCTTGGGTGGCTGATGCTGTGAAGATGCTTGCATTGCCTCTGATGTCTGAACAAGATGATCACCATGTATGCACTTGTGGTCAACATAACTCCTACAAGAAAGACATCTCTGGAGGTTGTCACTGTTAAAATCAGTGCCCTAGTGATATAGCTCATGGGGAAGAGTGAGCAGGATTGAGTGACCTTCATCTGGTTGTTCTCACTCACATTGGTAAAAGCACCAACATAGAAGATCCACCTACTACTGAATGACAAATTGAAAGACCAGAGGTAGAAGAAAGCATAGATTGTGTATGTTTTAAGTTTATGTTTAAATTTTGCCAACAATGATGTGTTGGGACTGATAGTGACAGCCTGGAACACACTCAGGAGGCAGGTGATGCAGATGGACAGGCCTCTCATCACTCGGTTCATGTAAAAAGTTGCCTTACATTTGAAGTCATTCTCAAAGTTCAGTGACTCAAATATGTCTGTAAGCCAAAGATCCCCTCCAGTGAGGACCGTCACTATGTGGATGAAGGTCAATTGACAGGACATCAGGTCCATGGCCTTAGGTCTGTGACACAGGATTATGA